AGTGACTTGAAGGGCTGACTGGCATAGTAATGGAGATTAGGAGGAAAATAAACTTTGACTAAATCTACAGGGTCGGTGAGGTGACTCAGGGAAGGCTCTATATAGAATAAAGGGGAAAAAGGTTTTTCCATATAATCACTGGGTGACTTTGGGTAATTAGATATTTATGACTGGGATTTAGTGGAGTCTTACTTAGGATCTGGAGTGGGATCAACTAAGGTTGATCTATAAGTAGGAGGTGTAGCAAGTGGATGGAATCTGTTGGTGACTGCTAAGGCAGAGGATTGGGACTGGGTTTGTGATCTGGTAATTGGTGCTTTGTCGTAGCAAATACTAAATGGTTTAACTAATTGGGGCCTCTGGGGAGGCTGTCTGGCCGCCATCAGATTTCTGCAAGAATTCCCTTGTAAAAAAATCTGGAATAGAATTGTTACTTCCCTTTATATATTCGATATCAAAATCAAATATGCTTAAAATAGCTTGCCAACGAGCAAAAATTTGTTTAGAAGCAATATTTTCAACATCTTTTTCTAAAACATATTTTGCACTTTGACAGTCAACTCTAACTAAAAATTTTTGATTTAAAATATTATCTTGAAATTTACTAATGCATAAAACAATAGATAAAATTTCTTTTTTAATAGTACTATAATTACTTTGTGCTTTTGTCCAAACACCGGAATGATATCGAACCAATTGTTCGGGAGCAGTTGGACCGACTCGTTACTTGAGGATGCCGCTATAACCAATGTCAGAGGCATCAGTTTCAATTATTTTGAAAGAATCAGCAGTTGGAATGCCAAGACAAGGTAATGACTTGACATAACGTTTAATGGATTTAACTATATCAGTATGGACAGAGGTCCATAGAGGAGGGTTACTTTGAAGACGCTCAAAGAGGGGCTTACATTGCTTGCGAAGATCTTTGTAGAAGTCAGCAATGTAATTTAAAGATCCTAAGAATCACTGGAGTTGGGACTTCTCTAAAATCTGGTCTGGGACTTTTTCTGCAAATTAAAGAGATCTATTAATAGGACGAATCTGACCTTGATAGATATGGTAACCTAGAAACCGGATATTGGTTTGGAACAACTTGATTTTTGTAGTAGAAACAACAAAACCATTCTTTTGAATTGTTGCCAGAAACGATTTCAGATGTTTCCAGTGTTCATCAATTGACTTGGAATAGATAAAAACATCATCAATATAAACAATGGAAAAATGACTATAAGGATTGAAAATATCATTCATGATATTTTGGAATTCACTAGGAGCATTTTTCAATCCAAAGGGCATTACTTTCCATTCAAAATGACCAAATAGAGTAGTGAAGGCAGTTTTGTACCTATCTTTCTTTCGAAGGCGAATTTGCCAAAATCCTGATTTCATATCAAATTTTGAAAAAATAACTGCTTGACTAAGTCTACTAATAAGATCTTTTTTATTGAGAATAGGATACCTAATCCATTCTAAGACCTTATTTAGGGGTTTGTAATTGATGACTAATCGGGGAACACCTCTTTCTATTTCAGAATTTTTCTGAACATAGAAAGCTAGACACGACCAAGGTGACCTACTTTTTTTAATAATCTTCTTATGCAGAAGATCATTAATCTCTTTTGTACAAAATTCCATGACTTCAGGGCTCATTTGAATTGGTCTGGCTTTAGTAGGGACATGTCGTCTCGTAAAGCCTTTAATGTAAGGTAACTTCACAGAATGTCTTTTTCTGTGCCAAAAGGCAGTTGGTAGATCAGAACAAACTGTATTTTTAATTTGTTGTTCGAAATCTTGAATTTTTGTTTGGAGAACTGGTTTAGTTAACTGAACATCAATTCTTTTGTAATTGACTTATTCTTTTAAAAAACTCAACTGTTGAGTTTTGCTATGTAATAAGTTTAGTGTTTTTGAAATAGAAGAATCTATGACTGATTTTAACTCCTTCCTAGAAGGAGGACTAAGGAACTTAAACTGGACTTCTTCTCCAAAAGGTCGAGTAATTAATCCTTCATCATTAGTAGTAAAGGGATAGAGGAGGTAGATGAATGGAACTCCTAAAATGAGTTTATCAGTCATATTTTTGACCAAGACAAAGGATGTCCTAAAACATACATTGTTTTGGCAAATATGAGCTTTAGAGAGTTTGTATTTTTTGTCCATTTTGCTACCATTAGCTTAGCTAAGCCTTTCAGAGGTTTTCTCATAGTATTTAGTTGGTATGAGACCTTCCTGAATGCAATTAAGATCAACTCCGGTATCAATCAAAGCAATGACTTCAAGTTTGAAATCTTTGTTTATGATGAGGGTAACTTTAGCATACCATTTCTGGAATGAAATGTGATTTAGAGTCTGGAGTTTGTTAGAAGAGTCAGAACATCTTGAATGTTTTGAAGCCGCTGAATGAGCAGAGGTTTCCTCATCAGAGGATTCAGAAGATTCTTTTCCCGTAAAGGGAAAAGCAGGATTTTGTTTTAATTTCTGAATATCATTTTTCATAACTTGGTGATTTGTCTTGAGATTTTTAATCTCAGTTATTATTATGTTAATTTCTGTTTGAAGGTCTTGAATAGTGACTTCTTTTGGTTTGTTATTAAACCTCTCTAAAGTTTTATATAGACTAAAATTGGGTTTACTAATTGTTGGGGCTTCAGGTTCTGAGTTGCCTAATAATACCTTAAGTTTTTTAAGATATAAGGTTTTTAACTTAGGGTCACCTACCTTACTAATTAAATCAATAAGTAGATATTCTTGTTCATCATTTTTTGTGAGAACATTAAGTGACTTATTAGGATTGCAGCAACTATCTTTACATCCTAGTGTAATATTAGGAGAACTAGGAGAAGCATCAGATGATTGGGAGGAGGAACCAACGTCTGGATCACTGCTGCTATCATCAGTATCTTTTAACTGAAGAATTTGGTAAATGGATTCTTTAATCTCACTAGGGATTTGTAACTGATTGATCTTTATTTTTGCATAGCAATCTTTTGCAAAGTGACCTAGACGACCACATTTGTGACATTTAACTTTATTAATATCTGTGGTAGTAGGGGTATTCTTTTTCTTAAAAACCTTTTTACTAAATTTCTTTTTAAGTTTAGGCTTTTGAGAATAATATTCATTTTTTGGAAAGACTGGTTTCCTGCTTTTGTAATGCCTACGGTAACCTCTGTAACTTTTCTTTTGTGATTTGGGGTTTTGTCTAAAGGGAGCTATGGGTGGAAGATCATATTGTTCACAAATGGTTCCCATTTCATATTTAGCTCTTTTCCTATCATCTTGTAACTGGTTGCTAATTTTCATGTCAATACACATTCTTAATCCTTCCTTTTGGATTAGGCTGATGATATTGCCATATGTGAGAGTATCATAATCAATGTTACCTGTGGCTTTACTAAGAGTATCTCTAATTTTATGAGCAAAGAGGTTAGGTAATCCATTAATGAATTTTTCTTTCCAGAATGGTTTGTTACTATCATCTCTCATCATAACTCTGGATAAGAATACATCTTTATACCATCTAAAATCACTCATGGTTGGACAAGAGAGGTTGGTAAGTTGGTCATGTATTCTGGAGGTGATGTTACTTGGAGTACCTATAAAATGGTCAACTATGGTATAAACAAGGGTATTAACTCCATCAGGAATAGCACGACCTATGGCTTCATCAAAAATGGGAAGACCCTCATTATCCTTTTGAATAGCATTTTTGATATGTGCTCGAGAATCTTCAGTTAGATGTTTCTCCCACTAAGATTTTAACATTCCTGAAAATCCTGAAGCGAGAAGATCAACTATTTCTGGTTGACTAAGATTATGTGTAGTAACATAGTTATTAGCTACCATTGAAATATGACTTAGTTTATTAAAAATTTCTTGTTCGGATAAACCATCAATATTCCATTCATAAAGTTTATCAGAAGAGACAGAAAATTGATTTTGAATGTTTCTTTCTTCATATTAAAGATCGGAGGTGTCGGCCTGGGGAAGCAAATTTTTGCTCGTTGAATGGAAACTGATAAATTGATTTTGATTTTGACTTTAAATATATATATATATATAAGATCATAAAACATTTCACCAACTAGGATTTAGTTTGCAAAACAAAAATTACAGACATTGATTAGTTGATTTAGAAAAAAAAAAAATTAAAACAAAACCCATACATACAAGTTAGCAGTTACAGAAAGAGCTTCTGATTCTTGTAGATATTGTAGTTTGCAGTTGTGCCGGGGAGGAGGGGGGGGGGGGGGGGGGGATGAACGAGAATAGAGATGAAGGTGATTGGGGAGGCTCAAATGATTTTTGATAGGGTTTGCTTATTATGTAAATGACAAGTTTACCTATTTATTTCTATATAATTTACATTCTTATATATTTACAATGAATTTGATAGTTAAATTTTTTTTATTTTATTTTTAATCAGGCAAATAAGCTAAATAAAATACAAACACTCACCAAAAAAAAAAAAAAAAAAAAAAAAATGGTTATTGAAAATTGGTAATTGGGAATGGTAGTTGGAAAAAAATGGTTGTTGTATCAAAAAATAGCATTTTGAATGAAATAAACCATTGGAGCAGAGTTGCTAAAATATAATATTTTGACTCTGTAGCACTTGTCAAAATATAGATTTGGCATGCAAAAATAATTTTTAGCATTGGAGATGGTCTCAATGAGGGTAAACAATATTTTTTGCATATCTTTATTTTTTTGAAACTATGAAATTTTGACGCCATCAAATAATAAATATGAGTCATTAGCACTATTTATATGTAATAATTTCTTAATTTTATCCCAATTTTTATTTATTTATATAATCACCTAACGCTGTTACGATATAAGTGATAAACGACGAAGTTTTACTTTATATCACTGTAGTAATATACAACACCACGTAACTGGTTGACTCCTGATCTCTGCCCTCCACGTGGAATGGTGTATGCCGTCTGATTGAGGAGCCAGATCCAATTGTTCCCGCTAGAAATATAGATGGCACACCGAGGGTAACCCCAAACCTCATTTCTGCATTTTCACTCCAACCAGAACCATGCGTCACCGGAGACGAAGGTATGCTCCGCCGGCATCTCTTGAGTGTCTCCGCCGCTACATCGCGGCGGATTTTGCTCAGTATGCTGCGATGGCAAAGGAGACCGTGCTCGAGAATCGGATTCAATTGGTGGAGTCCAAGCAGAAGGCGAGCGCGGATCGTGTTGCTTCTACGGAGAAGCGTATTGAGGATTTGCGCGGTGAGTTGCTTCGCGGCAGTTCGATAGCCGTTTCCACCGTGGATGAGTTGAAGCGCGTGGACGAGTTGATTCGTGTGCCCGTAATTGTTGCTCCCAGTGTCAGCGCGAAGACACGCGATGAGCTGGTGAAGCTTGCTAAAGGACTGCGCGTCCGCCTTGGTATGACTTCTTAATCACTCGAATTTGCAGAATATATATTGAATCCTTTTTTTAGCGATTATTGCATTGATACTAAATGGAATTTAGGTTTTTATTTATTTATTGATATTTTCTATTTCAGTGCTTTGATATTGTGTATTCCAATGCTTGGAAACCCCCTCATATACAAATAAATCACCTCTGTTGCTACCAAAGTGCCCGCATAATGCCCCATTAACAGACTGAAAACTTAGAAGTAATTTGGATAAATTAATCCAGTTAGTGACCTTGTTTGGGAAACCAATGTGATTTAAGATGTCCAAAATAAAATCCCAGCAGACTGTATTAAAAGCTTTCTTGATATCTATCTTCATAGTGCACTTGGGAATAGGATTGTCTTGGTGATAGCCCTTTAGAAAAGTTCTTGACCCAGCAGAATTCTTTAGGAGATTTTTTCTGTCAGTGATGAAGGCAATTTGGTTGTGGCTAATGATGTGGGGCAAAATGCTTTTAACTTTGTTAGCAATCAGCTTAGAGATGATCTTGTAGAGAGTGTTACAGCAGCTGATGGGTCTGTAATAATTAATGGAAGAAGGGTTGCTGTACTTATGGACAAGGGTGATAATAGTTTATCTCTTTGAGCAAGCAACCAAATTGAAAGAAGGAAGTTATTGCATGAGTGACTTCCTCTCCTTTGATGTTCTAGGCCTTCTTGAAGAAAGTTGCAGAGTAACCAAGGAAGTGATTAGACTGGTTCTCTTTAGTTCCAATAGATCAATCTTTCTTTTTATTTTCATTGTTTTGAAAGTTTTACTATATCATCTTCACCTACTAAGGATTTATAGAAACAACTTCACAAGTCACCTCATATGACCTAACTTCCTATGAGCCTAAGTAAGTTATGGTACCAAGGGCTCCATAATAATTATTTAGAAGATGTACTGCTGGTCGTGTTCAAAATTAATATGCATCATGTGGTATTTGGAATAAATCAGAGCTAAACCAGCATGTAGCTAATAGGTTTTTGTGAAGTGCTGTTTAGAAAATGTAAGCTTTCTAAGTAAATAAACAGGTTTGTGAATATGCATAAATATATATTTATATATATACTCTCTTTTTTATCATACAGATTTACCCACCCATAGTTTAATTGTCTTGTTCGCTTTTCTGTCCTCCTCTCTTCCTAGAATGTATGTATATGTGACTGGTACAACCAGCTTTGTTGTATTTTAATTGTTGTACTCAATAATACCCAACTGAACAAGAGTATTGAGTGACTATAGAACTAGTTTATTTAATATCATCCAGGATTTGGATGGGAGCAGGGAGAAACCATGAATAAATTATACATTTTAGGAAAAATAAGAGATATGTCATACTATTTGGCATTACACACGCATATGTATCTCTTTGTATATGCATCTGTTCTCATGTTTATAACAAATCCTGAAATCCATTTTAAGATCTAATTGCTGAGTATGGCTAGCATTTAAGTCAACACTTAATTTTATGTCATTTGCCCGGTCTTCAGCTTTTTAGAATTTTTTTATTCTTGCTGCAAGGATATATTCTAAATTTTTAGCTTTTAGATCAAAATAAGATTCTCATTTCGAACTAGTTTCCTAAGTTCTACACTCAAAAAGAAATATATTTCATATGCGAAACCAGCCTATGCTGGTTTTGTCCTGAAGGGGGAGATTTTGGTTTCATTACAAAGCACTTGTACATAATATAGTTCCGGATATTGTAAAGCCCTGTATGATGAGATCCACCAAGACATTGAAAAAAAGTTGATGTTATCGTGTAGGTACCTAACAATTATAAATGACATCACAAATTTCTTAATTTTACAGTGGGAACAACGACGAGTCTCCAACAAGCACGCAACATCTTCCTTGAGATTTTCAAACACGAAAGAAAACCTCGGCGTCCTAGTAGGCACCTTGAATTTTCCTTTTGGAATTTACATGTGGAAAATTGAGCCTCCATTTGGGTTAGATATGATAATAAATTTGATAAATGTTTGATTTAAAGAAAATTTAGAAACTGATTAGAAAACATTAAACGTATACAGTTATATATACATATGTATGTGTCTATATATACAAAGAAATGTAAGAAATAAAAATAGGTCATCTAACCATGAGTTGACCGTGACTGCCTCTCTGGGTTTGATTGAAGCTTGGTATTAAGTATAATACAAAATCACTACTAAAAGTAAAACAAAGCTCTAAAAATACAGATTCATGATGAGCTACTGGATTTTCAATTGCTGCAAGTGTTGCGAGGCATATTGTGTAGTGTTTCGTATTTCAAATTTTTGTACGACAGAACATTTTTGTAAGCAAAGGATTCACGGAGGATCAATTCCAAAATTTCTATTATGGAACTCAGAACCTTTTCAACAACACTCTTTGAGAATCTGCCAGAGATCAGCCTTTATATCTATTATCTAACACAATCACAAAACATTTTTAACAGTGAAATTTTAAGAAATAACATGGATTGCATGCCAAACAGAAAATTGTAACCTGTATACTCAAATTCTAGGTAAAATCAGGCTACTGACCCGCCTTTTTATAATTCATGTTCAATTCTATAAATTTTGGTCGGTCACATGGACCAGACACAAAGTACTTACATGTCCTGGTGGAGGTTGAATATGAGGCATTACGAACTACCATGGTCCCTGTACCCTTGGAGAACAATTAAAAAAAAAAAATGCATGTTTGCATTCTCCTCATGCACTATGTGTTGAGGATATATTTAGACCTCTGCAACATACACCTTAAGAGCAATCCTTAGCTTCCTCCTAGGCTTTTTTAGTCCATGTAATTCAATTTCGAGCCACCGGCATATAAGTGGGCATATGGTACCACAACCTCCCTCTCAAGTTGGTTTTGGTGGCCAGCAATATTTATAGCAAACCCAATCACTGAAGTTCTTAGAATGGTCCTAGCAATCTTGTGGTCAAATATGAAGAAATACTAATGTTTGGGAGAGCTTTGACTGTGTGTTGTTGCGAAGTATACATGAAGCTGTGGGTGGGACTGGGAAGTTGAAAACCAGTTTTGTGGTCATGGAAGAAGAGTAGTGACTAATGAGGACCCATCAGATGGTGAGTACCCAAATAGTCCCCCCGAGTCGCCCCAGTTGGTCCTACATAAGGGGTTGAAGAGGCCATACATGTAGGGTCCGTGGAATGGTTTTAGAATTAGTGACTAAAAGCAGTGTTCAAATCCAAGTTCAATTCCAGTTCGGACAAGTTTTTTTTATACCTTTGAAGTGGTAATACAATTCTAGTATATCTCGGTTTGTGGTATCTCAGTTTTGGTCTGATTATTTCACATGGTGGGACTATAGTCAGCAATTAATGATTGGTATTGGATGCGTATAGTTTAGTTTTATATGATTATTGGATGGTATTATATGAGTTTAATTTTAGCAATGGACATGGGTTTGTGAGAGAGTGTAGCGTTGTCTCTAGGGTTTTGTGAAAAGAAAGTGAAGAGTGAGTGTGTGTAGAACTTTCTGTTGATGTGAAAAGGTCTCCATAGTCTAGAGTGTATTAGTAGGGAATTACACACTATGTATAATAGCAAGGGTAAAATAGTCAATTCATTCCGTCCGTTAATGGTGTTAAGAGACAATATGTAACAGGGGGACTGTGATTATGCAAAGGTGGGGTCTGAAGCAAATAAAAGCAAAGCACAGGGTTAAACTGCATTTTACCCATTTATAAATCAATGGCATAGACCTGTTATTGTTAGCAACAAGTTTAACTATAGTGGTGGCTCCAATCTCACAAGCCATTTTACTTCTTTCATTCAGAGCAGACTCTAAAACCACAACACTTCCTTCAATGGACCCATCTTTTTGGTATACATTTTCAATTTCTCATTATCCTTTAGCATGTTCCTTGTCTGTTCTATCACTTTACACTTTCTCAAATTTTCTCTTTTTTGTACTCCAATCTCTCTTGCGGCTGCTTCTCTCCTCTCATTTTTTCCCCTGATTTTCTCTCTTCCTCTCTTTCTAGAATGTATGTATATCTGATTAGTACAACCATTTTTTTTTTAATTGTTGTCGTCAATAAGACCCAACTGAACAAGAGTATTGAGTGTCTATAGAATTAGTTTAATTAATATCATCCAGGATTTGGAGGGGAGCTGGGAGAAACCAAGAATAAACTATACATTTTGGGGGAAAATGAAAGATGTCTCTCATAAATATTTGGCATTACACCCTTGTATGGATTTATGTGTTTATGCATCTGTTCACATGTTTGTAACAAATTCTGAAATCTATTTTCTGAATATGGCTAGAAACATTTAATTTTATGTCATTTTTAGAATTTTTATTCTTGTTGCAATCGTATTTTCTAAGTTTCTAGCTTTTAGATCAAAATAAGTTTTCTCATTTCAAACAAGGAAATGTATTTCATACATGAAATCAGCCTATGCTGGTTTTGTCCTCAAGGGGAAGATTTTGCTTTCATTAAAAAGCGTTTATAAAAATCATAATATAGGTCTGGATAAAGTGAAGCCCTCTATGATGAGATCCACCAAGACATTGAAGAAAAATTGACGTGTTAACCAAAAATACATGTACCTAACAATTATAAATGGCAGCCACAAATTTCTTAATTTTGAAGTGCCAATTCCAATGAGTCTCCAACAAAGGTGTAACATCTTCCTCGAGATTTTCATCCACGAAAGAAGACCTCTTGGGCGTCTTAGTAGGCACCTTGTATTTTCCTTTTGGAATATATATATATATATATATATATATATATATATATATATATATATATGTAAAAGTTTGAGCGTGACCATTTGTGTTAGATATGATAATAAATTTAATATACAGTTCTGAAACAAATGAAATGCTGTTATGCAAAACGATACCTGTGAGTTTAACTAGTTCTGATTATAAAAGCTTTTTTGAATTTATGTTGTTAGAATGTAATACTTCAAAAGAAGGAAAAAGATGCTCCTAAGAGAATTTTTGCCCCTGAACTTGTCATATTTCATATTAAAATGCATTTTTCATCATCATCATCTCATTGCTTTTATCCCAAATTACTAGGTTCTGTTAATTATAGGGAGGAGATATTGGCTTGAAACTTTGACGGGAGAGTGAAGAATCAATAACTAAGACTTGAAGCTAACAATCATAACTGTTAGCCTCAAGGATTCAACCCAAGGTTGTTTGGGTGATTTTGACGATGACAATCCATTAATAGTGTAGATTTAATGAGTTTACTTGAGTGTGCATATTAAAAGGTATCAAATTATCTTAAGTGTCTCAAATTCTTTGGACTTTAAAAGAGACTCACAAGAAGATTCATAAAGCCACATGATCTTAGAACAAAGATCAAAGATCAAATATCAATGGCAAAGATGAAGTAAATCCAAGCCTCGTGATGATGGAACCCAAGAGCTCAAAGAATTTTTTATCAAAGACTTGGGTAGGCTAGTCTTGGGTAAGTGTTAGTATTTAATGTAAAGTTACTTTGAAGCAATTTAATTTTTAAGCTCAACCCTTTACTTAGTTGACTCCAGGACCTAATGCACCTCAACCATATCATTTTAATGGTTCCAAGACATGTAGCAATGGAGCTTGAATTTAATTAAACCATCTATAAGGTCCTACTTGCTAGTGGAAGTTCACATGAACTTGTATCTCACAAATGAGCAAAAATCAGCAATCACAAATTCAGGAGCTGAGAGCACTTAAACAGCCATAACTTTCAATGTGTGTGGAGTTTTTAAGGGGGGCCAAGTCCATTGCAGAATTCATTTTAAGAGCTTGAATTTGGACATAAATTTGGCCTAATTTGGATTTAAAATAAGCGAGTTATTGGTGTTTGAAGTGGGACCTTTAATGCAGAATTTTGTAGCAGGCTAAAAGACACAAAGTAGCCATCTACTTTGCAAAATCCAGTGCCTATGCTTTATGACCTGAATTAGAAATAGCCTCCTATAAAATATGCTGTAGAAAAATTAGATCTAGAAGTAGCCGTCTAGAACTTCCATAGTATTGAGCTACAAGTACAAAAAGTTCAAATTTTGTTAGATCTAACCACACCCACTTGCACATTAAATGCCCCAACGACTATATCAACGGCTATATTCTTGAATGGCTATGTATACGTGTTCTCTTGAACATTTAACAAAGATTTATATGTGCGCGTACACTTATTGGTAGGAACCACCATTGAGCCAAAACCGGCTTATCTATCCTTGGGTTCATCATTGAAAACCTAGAGTTGAGCTTTTTCTTGCATACTTCATCTATAACTCTAGGATCATAACTTTTATTGAATAATATCAGTCCATTGAGGGACATTCATCATACTTGAGCTTCAACTCTTATCTACGGGACTTCACCCCGAGAAGAAGAATTGTATTATGTGCTGCAACTCTTATCTATTTCTTGTGAGAGAAATGGGATCACTTCATTGAAGCTCGTAAAGGCTTACTCTCGGCCTTGATATGAGAGATGGTCCACCCTTGGCCTTGAAATGAAGGAGGCTTTCTTTTGGCTTTGATGTGAAGTATGGGTTTTACTCTTGAGCCCGAAAAAGGAGTGGGTTCTCTGTTATCCCGCAAAAGAGAGGGTTTTACTCTTGAGCCGGGAAAAGGAGCATGTAGGGGTTTGCTTTCCACCCGTGAAGGAAAACACTATAGTGGAATCCTCAAGATGTGCTCTTGAGGAATGGATGTAGGCAGGGATCGCCAAACCATGAAAACCTTCATGTCTGTGGGCTTGCTTTTCTCTATCTTTAACTCACTTTACATTTGTTAGTTATAGTTCTACTTGCTTGTTAAATTCCCACTTGCATATCAATTGTTTTATTTGTGAATGCAATAAGATTTCTTGTTAAGGAGGATAGAATGAATTCTTGGTTTGAGTTGTGGAATTGTGGATTGAGTAGATTGTTTGTGGAATTGGGTTTACTTGTAGTAGTTGCACGTTTGATTTCATTTTCATTTACTAGAATATAGTTGCACACATGATGTTTGAGAAAATGCTTACTCTGCACTGCCTTCACTTTATGCTTTTTAAATGTTGCATTTTCATTAGTTAAATATATTCACCATTAAGATGTTAATATAAGTAACTCAATCTAAACAACTATGTTAAAACATTAAGTGCTTGATAAGTGGAATTTTAGTTTAGCTCTCATCTCACATCCTTCTCCAAGATTCTGTCACTTGGGATAATTATTGCTAGCTTAAGATCTCCTACATTTTTATTCCATATTCTTGATATTTTTGCTACATTTGAGCACTTTAATAGACATCATTTACATTGAGTGAATCTCCTCTCTTAATAGGTTCACATTTGAATAACAAACTTTTAATCGGTAAAGTTTCTCATTGTTGCTAGAGACCCTATTCACCCTCCCCCCTCTCCCTCTCCCTCTCCCTCCCCCTCTTCTAGGGTTAATATGAACCTAGTCAACGTGAAGTTACATTTTTTATGGTATTTACTGATGATATTGTTTGAATTTATGAAATTATATCATGCGCATATACTAAAATAGAAGTTTCAGATAAGTAAGTCTAATATATACGGAATGTCATTTCAGCAAACTTCGAAGTACAAGCGGGATGGGTATATTAGAGAATCACCAACTATATGGGAAAATTTATTACTCCTTTGCTTCACTCGTAAATCACTTTCTATTATTTTTCAAATCTTCTCTAATCTGTTCTAGGAGGGCTGGGGTTATGTTAGCTCAATATTACTGGCCATAATTTGAAAGACCAAAATATGCACAATAGTTTTTAGTTGATCAACATATATCCCTATGAAATTATGTTCTGCTTATAGCTTGGAAAAGATGGAGGAGAAAACTTAACTTAGGCTATGATTATTTAGGTTTGTTCTATTTGGTGATCAAATACAAACTGATTGGTACAATTGATAAAAGAAGTCATTGCTCAGTTTGATCCCATAGATCGAGGGTGCTACAGGACATACTAGGTACCTACCTAGTCTTTGCCATTATATACAAAAAGTGGCACTTAAAACACATATTAGATCTTACTGTTGATGATTGATCAAAGTTCAAGAATGGTCTCCAATACCACTAGCTACATGGGTAATGACTGCATGGTGACCGCTGAAACACGATTCAACAAAATGTAAAAAAAAATGTCCAGGGAATCATGAGAGCTTGATATGCATTATGGGTTTATTCCTTAATAGATTGACCTTTTCATATGATTGATAGTCTAACATGAATACATTACGGAAAAATTGGAACTTGGCCGACGATGTGAGAAGTGATTGTTCACTTAGAAGCTGAAAACCAATATACTTGGCTTCAGTGAGAAACCAAACCTCACTGGAAAAGGGTTATTTTGTTAATCATAGAGGCCACTTATTGGACTGAAAACCCTGTCATTTTCTTTGTGTTCAGACCACTAGATGTCCAGTTTATGATATAACCATAAGGGGTTCTATGGAAATGCTGTTTGAACCCCTTTTAACTCTGGTATGTTTGTACTAATTTATGCATGCCTACAGAAATGGATATGCACGAGTTTCTGTTTCAAAAAACTTTCAGGTCTACGAAGAAGGCAATGCTTTTCCATGAAAGAAAGGCTTCAAGGCATTCCATGTGGGAAAATTGTTCAAAACTATTATGTTATTACGGAGAGTGAATAAACAAGAACTAAGACTTGAAGTTTACAATTAAAACTATTTAGATTGTTTTTAGTGCTTAGAAGCTTTAGGCATGTACAGGAGCTTTATGGTTGCTTTTAGGAGCGATTTTTCCAATTGGAGGATAGGATTTGTTAAGTTATTGTACAAGTGACTCATATTTACAACTCTCTCATATTTCTCTTTTTCCATTATTTTCTTCACCAATTTTCAGTTGCCTAAACATATGTTCATCAACTTCTTTGCAGTTTGATCCACTTGCATAGGAGAGGAACAAAAAGGCAGGCTGGTGTTTCCTACTCGATGTTTGTAACTTGCCTGTGTGTAACTGGATTTTTGGATTCCTATAACTTTGCTCTAAATCCGAACCCAAGGTGGTATTTCTTATGATGTAGTCTATCATTTTTAGTTATTTGGTCTCTGTTGTTCCGGCCAATATAAACACATAGGTCACACACTCACAGCCGTTTAGGTTCAACTTTTATGAATCTTTTTGTTTATCCGGTACATGCAATTATGCAAATATGGCTTGCTTATTTTTGTTTGATGATGTGATTGTCCTCAAGAACGGAGAATCCTTAGACTACCATCCTTGCCTTGATCCATATGTTATGGACGGGAAATTCTCTTTTCCATTCTTTTCTATTATATACTATGTTATGACTTCTTGGTGTTTGATTTTCTTGTCCCTTGTCTTTCATTTGCGTTGTTTATATGGTTATACCTATTCATATGTTCATTTGTGCACATTGGATTATTTCTCTCTCTATTTAATTATCTAGTGCACATAGATTATTTACTTGAATTAAATTTCATTATTTGCCTTAGACCTAGTTTTTTTTTTTCCTACCTCTTGGACCTAGTTTACCCCCTTTTGGGTCGTCGTATGCTAAATAACACATTCAAAGTTTTAGGTTATTAGGGTATGTTTGGTGTGGTGGAATGAATTGGAATGGAATGAGAATGGAGGTGGAAATGGAATGAGAAACATGGAATGTGTAAAAATGGAATCTCATTCTCATTCCTATGTTTGGTAAGAAAGTTAGAATAGAATGAATTTATATTGTTTCTTTAAATTACATTTTATTATTATATTATTAGTAAAAAAAATTAACTAAAAAAATAAATTTGCAAAAATAGAAGGGAAAGAGATAATAGAGAGAAAAATAAACGAGATAGAGAGAGGGGGAACAAACAGCATATAGATATATATTATATGTATATATATATATTATATTTATATAGTGTGTGTATGCGTGAATTATCTTTTTAAATTATTTTATTACTTTATTAATTCTTAGTGGGAATGGAATGGTCATTCCACCTCTCAAGAAGTGGAATAGACATTTCACCTTTTTGATGGAATGGGCATTACCTAGGAATGGCCATTCCACTTTTAATGTGATACACCAAACAAGAGAATGGAAACAAATGCATTTGATTCCACCTTCATTTGATTCCATTCACTCACACCAAACATAGCCTTACATTGCACACATAAGTATTACATAAGTATTACTCTTATGAATGTTTGAATGAAAATTTTAAATTACATTAAACTATATTTAATATAATTATCTTATTATATTTAAATTATGTAATTAAATGAGCCTAAACCTGCTTTTCTTAATATCTATACTTCATAAAAACGTACGAAGTGTTTATAAAATTTATATACATAATAAGGCTGTTGTTTTAATTAAAAAATGTTTACCTAACTTTTCGAGTTTTAAAAGAGTTGTCATTATTTTCTCAATATATGATTTTTATTTATTTATATATATTTCTAGATTTTTATTATAAATTCGAAAAAATGTGACTCATCCAAAAGCCACATCTTTCTCAATAGAATTTTCATTATATGTTTATTTTATTTATTAATTCAAAAAAAAAAAAAAATTGTGACTCATCCAAAAGCCACGGAAGGTAGAAGGCTAAGAGCAAATATTCTCACTCTTGCATATCTTTTCTGTTTTATTCTAAGTAGGTGTATTAGAGATTCTTGGTGAAAATATATATATATATATATATATATATATCATTCAAATATTATATAGATAGACATATTTCATCTAGGTTGACCAAAAAGAAACTTTGTCGAATCTTTTGTTAACATAAATTTGGAAGCTAGACACACCGTTTTGAGTCATTTCTTCAAGATTATGGAGTTCACACTGATAAAGCATCAATGGAGAAAGAGATTGGTAACAAGTTTGCACAGTCAAAAATGTAGTTAAATTTTTAGGTTAATTTTACTGACACTCTTCCAGTTTAGTCAAATATCAGTTTTAAATATTTTTTAAAAATAACTATCACTTAGATTTATTTTCGCTTTTCCGTCACGATCTATGTTAAAAATATGAAAAAAGACAACTTTACTCCTAATTTTTTAATCACATTTATTTCAAAATATCATATAATCTAAATGACTATTATACTCTTAATTAAACTCCTACCTACCCACCACACTCCCGCCAATACACACACTCAAAGTTCTCCTACCTTCACTGCCTTTTGATCATCTCTTACAGGTTTTGAGGGTTTCTTTGCTTCTTTTATGTATTCCGTTATGTATTTGCCTTTTTTGGTTTTTGACAGGTTTGATATGTTTGTAAATAAAATAAACATATAATGTGAAAAACCTTTGGCACATTTTTTCATTATATGTTTATTTTCTCATTATAATTTTCATTATATGTTTATTGGTGAAAAACCTTTGGCATTCGAGGCTATGTTCAATCATATGCTATCATCTTAACTTAAAGTGTTTTTGGACCTTTTCTTTTCTTTCTTTTATTTTTTATTTTTTATTGGAAGACGATTGTTTTTGGACTTTGTGTGAGAGAAACCGAAAGACACCTTACTATACAGTTTATCTAAGAGATTCCTTATCCGTTAGGCCATGTGTAGGTTGACCAAAAAGAAACTTTGTCGAATCTTTTGTTAACATAAATTTGGAAGCTAGACACGCTGTTTTGAGTCATTTCTTCAAGATTATAGAGTTGACACGATAAAAAGCATCAATGGAGAAAGAGATTGGTGACAAGTTTGCACAGTCAAAAATGTAGTTAAATTTTTAGGTTAATTTTACTGAACCTCCTCAAGTTTAGTCAAATATTAATTTCAAATATCTTTTGAAAATAACTAGCACTTAGGTTTATTTTCGCTTTTTCGGTCTTTGTTAAAAATATGAAAAAAGACAACTTTGCTCCTAATTTTTTAATCACATTTATTTCAAAATATTAGATAATCTAAATGACTATTATACTCCTAATTAAACTCCTACCTACCCACCACACTCCCGCCAATACACACACTCAAAGTTCTCCTACCTTCACTGCCTTTTAATCATCTCTTACAGGTTTTGAGGGTTTCTTTGCTTCCTTTATGTATCCCGTTATATATTTGCCTTTTTTGGTTTTCGACATGTTTGATATGTTTGTAAATACCAGTATATATATTCAACACACATTATTATGAAACGGAACGGCTAAAGATATATAATTCAACACACATTATTATGAAACGGAACAACTAAAGATATACAACGGCTAAAGAGGGTTAGTTGATTTCAATGGAAAAGTAAGGGTAAACATGTCATTTGAATACTTAAAGAAATAATTTAGTTAGTCAAACTAAAGTCAAATGAGGGTAAACATGTTATTTGAATCATTATTAAAGAAACAATTTAGTGAGTCAAACCAAAATCAAAGGGAAATAATGTCTTTGTACCTGTAAAAAGTGGTCTGACACATATATCAACTAACTTTTGGAGTGTGAGTGAAAAATGAAACAAACGTTTGTAATGTGGGTGATATTTGTTTTTGAAAAATATTTGAGGGTAATATTTGGCCAAACATGAGGAGATGTTTGTGAAATTATTCCAAAAATTTCACTAGGAATAGTTGGACGCTCCTTTGCACTAGGGGTCAGAAAAAAAAATAATAATAAATAAATAAATAAATTTTATGTAAAAGGATTTTCAATTAAACTTTTTTAGGAGAAATAAATAAATAAATATATACACACACACACATATATATATTCTAAAATTTAAAATAAACACACACCAACAATATTATAATCCAACACTCAACCTCTCTTTTGGAGGAAAAAAAAAAAAAAAAAATCATACCTTCTAAACTAATACCCATTGGTATGACAAAAAATTGGAATTCTCTGTTTAGGTCAACCTAGAATGTTTAATTTTCTCTGACAATATCTAATTCTCATTGGACATGAATCAATCGAAGTGTTAAGTCCAATAAAGAAGATCAAACTCAACAACAAATCGACCTTATCACAAGCATGGTGGAGAAATTATTTAAAATTTTACTTACATGTTAAGTTATGATCGACCGGGATTTAGTTGTAAAAATTTTTATATTGGCTTTGGATGCCACCATAGAGCCACAGTTACGGTGCCAAGCACTCAGCAATTTTAAACTTTTCTTTTGAAGTATCACCACTTCTACCATTATCAAAACAGATTAAAAAAAGAAAGAAAAAAAGATGCAGATTAAATGGATTCAAGCATGATAAACTATCATGGGTAGAAAAAATTTGCAAATAAAACATTTAAATTATGCTATTAAATAATAACCATTTCAATTCCTAAAAGTAAACTTGATTTGAGCTCCATAGCACGTTCTTTTGCTTGTTTCTCCTCAATTTCCTCAAACATGCATGGACTTGGTCTGCTCTTAGAATGTGTACAATGACGATCAATAATAATCTTTTTTAACATGACAGCATTCTTAATCAAGTATCCGGTATGCTCAAGGTCAATAAGACGGCCAAAAAACCACGCCAATTCCACCTCCTTTAGGCATTGATGGGGGCACTTCCAAGCTTTACGCATTCTTCTTTGTGATTCCACCGGACTCTTTAAATATAATAACTGTGAAACAGGAAAAGGGTTAAATCTTGTTTTAAAAAAATAATAATAAATAAAATAGACAACTAAATGTGTAAGATTAACACCATCAAAACACAAATAAATGCTTAGAAGTTAGAACAAACTTTTAGCACATGTACATTATTCTGGGTGTAAAATCTTTTACATGTAAAGTGAACCTTTTGAGCAAATTGTATTGACTTTCCTTAAAATTTGTCATAATTACACAGACCTCCCTTATAGTTTCAAAAATTACTCAGACCTCCTTAACAAGAAAAAACAAAAAACAAAAACAAAAACAAAAACAAAGCTGGTAACAAAGACCTCCCTGGTAGTGAGGTATCGTCAAATTCACTTCACTGACATCAAATAATGATTAAAATTACTAAATTATTCCTCTCTTATTGATGGGACTCAACAACCAACCAATCTTTATTCACAGTTGTTTTCATCCTCGTCAAATAATGACCATCACTCACTGTTTTTTTTTTTTTTCTAGTTGTTAGTATTCATACACACTTGTCTCTTCTGAGACTTAAACCCTTGATCTCCCTTTGAAAAATAAAAGGTTGATATTGTTAGGCCACTGCCCGTCGGTGACCATCACTCACTTTCTTGTCCTCTCTCTCTCTCTCTCTCTCCTTCCTTTATTCTCTTCCTAATCTTAGTTTGTTTTGTGTTTTTCAGAAAATTATTTATTGGCAGTTGACCTGATTTTTCTACACGAATAAAGCACACATATAGCTTTAGAGAGAAATAAAGTAGGATATGAATGGTGGAA